TTCCTGTCATGACAGACGCCCATGTAGCTGTGCATCTTATTTCTGCCTCACTTAAAGGGTTAAAACCCCTTTCCACGGCTACATTTAGAGATTCCACGGATGGACATTTGGAGCAACAATTTCCCCCACGGGATCACCCTGACAGGGGTGGCCAACACCTCTCTTGGAAGGGAAATCCGAGGTTGGAAATCGTGGGCTGTGCTGTCTGTGCGTGGAAAAACAACAGCTCATTGTGGCAGGGTGTGGGAGTTTTTGGATCCCTGGAAGTGTGCAGGGATTTGAGCCTGGCAGGAAATCCCAAATTTTCCTTGTGGTGAGACTGGGCGTGTCTCCTTGGCTGAGGTCAGACTCGCAGATTATTTTTATTTTTTGAATTTTATTTTCCACTTCTTGTCTGCATTTCCTTGGTACCACAGGAAAGCTTTCCACCCCTTCATCAGCTTTTGGGTGGATTTATCTCAGGAATTCTGTCCGAGTTGCCAGTTTTCTGAGGGTTGTGGATCTGCAGGTCCCCCAGATCCCCTCAAATCCCAAAATATCCTTTTTTTTCCCTGGAGGTTACCGGAAGCTGCAGGCGGTGGCTGAGCAGCTGATCCTGTTTGAAACCCTCAAGCAGAACTTTGAGAACTCCTTTGTCAACCACATCACCAACATCTTCGAGATGCAGGTGGGCTCCACTCTTCATGGCACCTCCAAATCCTGGAAAATTGGAATATTCTGGGCCAGTGGCACAGGAGATGCCACCAGGATTTCCCCAAATGGTCTCTCCAAAGAGATCTTCCCACACACCTTCCCCTTGTCATTGTCCCTCAGTCCTCGAGTTAATTTTCCAGGGATGCAGGAGACATCCACGCTCCCAAAATCCCTCTGGTGACATTCCTTAAGTCCTTAGGCCTGGAGATTTTTCATTTAAGTTTTTTTTAATTTTCTTTTGGGGGTTGTTGATCGGTTTGTAGCCTAAAATCCCAGGATAAACCCCAATCCTGTGATCCCTTGATCAACACCTTCAAGTGCTGATCTGGCAGGTTAAAGGTTTTTCTGGAGAAGACCCCTGAGGGCAGCAATCCCACGGATTTCCTTCCGTGAAAAGGAGCAATTCCCAAATCCTTACCCCCTTAAATCCTTGCTGTTCGGTTTCAAGCAGTGCTTTTGAGAAGGGGACTGGGAGGGAGCTGCGGGATTTCCATCCCTGGAGATTTGCAGCCCTTGGGCACATCCCTGAGCAAACTTTCCCATCGGGATCTGCTCCCAGCTCGCCCCACTCCAACCCCACCTGCACCATCTGTGGCTGCAGCGTCCCAGCAGAATTCCAAGGCTGCTTTAGGTGAATTTTTTCTGTCATTTCTCTCCCTCCAGGGCAATTCCCAGGCCCCTGCTCTTGGCCCCATGGTTGCCCCAAGCCATGGACCCCACCACGAGGAGCTGCTGCCCTACACCCCCCTCATGTCCTGGCTGAGGAACATCAACCCCACTCTGTTCTGGGACCTGCCCAAGGTAGGGCTGAACCCCTCAGCAAAGGCTGCAGACCATTCCCTGGGAGCTGGGGAATTCCTGATGGCATCTTGGTCTGCCCAAAGCCATCAATCCCCTGAGCTCCCAGATTTTGGTCCTGCTGGGAATGTTTGGCCAACCTGGAGCTCAGTGCCTGACAGAAAGCTGGGGGGTGGCAGAGTTGTGTTGAGGTAAAAGGTGTGAAAAGCCCCAATTTGGTCTTTTTACTCTTTCCTTGCTTTTCCACCCCATTCCAGGTCTATTCCCAGAACCTTGGCAGACTCTACGAGAGGGAAATCAGAGCCCTTTTTGAACAGGCCAAACTCGCCCTGTCAGGGAGGAGAAAAGGAAGTGAGTGACTCAAAACCTGTCCTTTGTGCTGCTGGGCAGGCTTTGTTGTCACCCAGGGGTGGTGACAGTCACCTCCAGCACAGGTGGCTCCCCCAGGTGTGATCCAGGACTTTATTCCCTGGCAGGGTGGGAAAATCCAGCTCTGCCCCACACACCAGGCAGTGTTTGGGAGAGCCTGGGCTCCGTGAATTCCCCAGTTTTGTTCAGGTGCTCCTCAGAGCCGGAGTTTTTGTTCCCTTCCCCGTGCAGGGCTCAGGAATGACACAGTGGTGGCCAGGATCGTGCCCCAAGGAGCCACAGGAGTGAGAGAGAGAGGGGAGGATGTGGAAAAACCTGGAAAACAAAACCTGCTGGCAGCTCCCTTCTCCCTGGCTCTCAAAGATTCCCAGAGTTCCCACCCCACCATTTTCTCCTGAAAAAACCCCACCAGGTTTTCCCTTGCCTTGCCTTGCCCTGCTCCTCTCACTCTGAGGGATCTGGGGTTGTTCAGCCTGGAGAAGGCTCCAGGAAAACTCTGTAATTCCCCTGGATCCCTAGAAGTGTCCCAGACCATGTCAGACAGGGCTTGGAGCATCCTGGGGCAGTGGGAGCTGTCACAGGACAGGCGTGGAATTTTGGTGATTTTTTTTTTTTTTTTTTTTTTTTTTGGGTCACCCCCAACCCAAAGCATTCAGTGATTTTATGATGCCATAAAACCTGGTCCATCTTTCATGCAAGATTCCTCAGAATCTTCTCCCAGCAGGGGGAAGCCTGTCCCAGCAGACAGAGGGAATTCACAGCAATATTTGTGGGATGATTTCACAGCGAGCCATTGCTGTCCCAAGGTGCTCATTTCCACCAAAATCACTGGAGCTGACTCCAGAAATTCCAGTCAGGTGTTTCTGAAGATAAAAAGAGAAACTGATCTGTCTCCTCTGGAAGGTTTTTTATGGCCCACAAGTCACATTTTCCCCTCAGCAAAACAAAGGGCTGTAATGGAAATTTCCAGGCCAGTTTGGCCCAGTTTGAAGGTCAGACTGGTGTGTTTTGCCCATCAGGGTCAGCACTTCCAGCTCTGCACTTCCTTCATCACTGGTGTCCAGATCCCGAGCCAGGGGATGGAGCTGAAGGGAGGGGATGGGGCTGGTGCCTCCCACTTTTGGGGTTCTTCATACCCAAAACAGCCTCTGGGCAAACAGGGCACCTCAAAACCCTGGGATCAAAGCAGGGTGGGGAGTGCTTACACAAATACCTGCACAGCAGGAAAAAAAAGGAGGAAAATTTCACCTAAATAGTCCTAAAGGCACCTAAATGGCCACCATGGGACCATTTCTGGAAAAAAAAAAAAAAGTCAAATTAAATTAAATTTAAATTAAACCAAAGCTGGTGCAGGGCACGTGTGGCAGCCAGTCTGTCCCATCCCCTGGGATTTCATTTCCTTCCAATATTTTTTCCATCTTTAAATCCTACATGAGTCTATAAACCAGGAGGGATTAAACCCCAGGAGAAAACCCTTGGGAAGCTACAAGGTGTTCCTGCTCTGGTAGAAATCATCCCACGGGCAGGACAGGGTGAATTCCATTGTCCTGGGATGTCCCTGCTCTGCTCCAGAGGGTGGGGACAGCAATGGGACAGGCAGGAAGCCCCAGGCCATCCTCGATGTGACCAGAACAATGTCACAGTCGGTGACAAAAGGGGGAATTTTTAGCAAGTTGTCCCCACAGAGGTTGTGGCACCTTCCCAGGGGCTGGCAGTGTCCCTGGAATAATTTACAGGAATATTCCTGCAGAACTTTCAGCTCCTGGGATAATTTACAGGAATATTCCTGCAGAACTGGCTGCTCCTGGAATAATTTACAGGGATATTCCTGCAGAACTTTCAGCTCCTGGAATAATTTACAGGAATATTCCTGCAGAACTGGCTGTCCCTGGAATAATTTGCAGGAATAATTCCTGCAGAACTGGCAGCTCCTGGAATGTTTTGCAGGAATATTCCTGCAGAACTGGCTCTCCCTGGAATGATTTTCAGAAATTATTCCTGCAGAACTGGCTGCTCCTGGGATGTTTTGCAGGAATATTCCTGCAGAACTGGCTGCTCCTGGAATGATTTTCAGAAATTATTCCTGCAGAACTGGCTGCTCCTGGGATGTTTAACAGGAATTATTCCTCCAGAACTGGCTGCTCCTGGAATAATTTGCAGGAATATTCCTGCAGAACTGGCTGCTCCTGGGATGTTTTGCAGGACAGGTTTGGCTTTCCTGAAGTTCTGCAGGAACCTCATCCAAAGTCCTGCTCATGGATGGAGCCCAAGCTGGGAGGAAACCTGTCCAAAACCATCCCTCATCCCTGCAGACCAAAATCCCTCAAAAATCCCTCATCCCTTCTGGAAAATCTCCCAGTCCAGGCTCCAGGTCATTTCCTTTCTCCTGATTATCCCAGTACATTTTTTTGTGTGGATTCCCTGCCTTCAGAAATGATTTTATTGATGGCACCACCCCCTGATTCCTTGCCTTATGTGATGGGACAGTTTCGAAGGCAACCTCGAGCTGTTCATAATTAATTGGGAACCAGTAATTAAATCCTCCCTCATTTTCCCTTTTCCACAGGCTTGTAAAATTCTTTCCCATTTGCTGTTGGAATTTTTATTTTTTCCTGCTTTTGCCACTTCCCAACTGGTGAAATTACAATGTAATGGTGAGAAAAAGATTAGGAAGCAGCTCCTTGATTTAGTCCTGGTTTTAGCAAGGCTGAGGTCATGAGCAGGGCTGGCTCATCCCTCACCCCTGCTCAGTGTGGAGCTCACAAAGAGAAAACTCTGCAAGGAGTGGCTCAAAAAAAAAATATTTTGGGGATTCTATGATTGATGGAGAGGCGACCTGAGCTCCCTAGAACCTTTGGAATATGTGAATTATTCCCATTTTTAGGATTAATTTGGAAATGATCTGGATATTTCCCCACTGGTTCTTTTCAGGGAGTATAATAGGAATTTTTAAATGCATCTTTCGAAAGATATTTTTTTTCAATTTTTCCACTTGAGCCAAGCCCCCAGTGCTAAAACTGCCAATGTTGGAGAAATGTATTTATTTCCAGGTTAAGGATTTTAATTTTAAAAGGGCATTTCTTGAGAAAAAGCCACTTTCACCTCGCCTGGATGTTTTTCATGGCAATTTACAATCAAAATTAAGCACCAAACAATTTTCCTGAGACTTCTGAAGGTTTTTGTGCTGATCTATTCCCTTACCCCCTGGGATTTTCCACAACCCAGGAGTAAGCAGAAGGCAGCAAAGGGATAAACACCTCAATCAATGAAATAAAAAGGCAATTTAATGAAACAAAAATAACGAAAAAGAGGGAGAAACTGCTGAGAAGGCAGAGAAAAAAATGGGAATTTCACTTGATTTCCCCATTAATCAGAATGCAAGAGGAAAAGATCAATTCATGCTTAAAGTCAGACAGAAAGAAGAGATGTTTAAGAGTTTAAATATTCAGGAGCTGGCGAATCCAAGAGGTTTGGGATTTCTGACGTTCCACAGGTCTGCAGGAGTCTTGGGAGAAGCCGATGGGGAGGGGGCAGAGCCAGGAGGACACCCCAGGCAGGGTAAGGAGCTGGGGGGTCCTGGCCTGTCCCATGTCCCATCCCCTGGGATGCTCCTCCCCTGGAGCAGAGCCCCAGGTGGACCCAGAGCTGCTCTGGTGTCCCCAGGGAATTCCAGAGGTTTTCCAAACCAAAAGTGGTTTCTAAGCAGGTGTTGGAGAAGGTGCTGAGAGAGCTGCAGCCCCTTTGCACCAAGGAGCAGCAATTCCTGCAGGAATTCTTCTGGCTGGGCTGTGACTCCGTGGAGCTGCAGGTGAGGGTGGGCACCTGGCACCTTTCCCTGCCTGCCACATCCGTGGGGCACCTGAGCTCTCCTGGGCCCTCATCCTCCAGGAACCAGCACTGGGGAAGCTTGAGAGGAAAATCAAATGGAATTTCATTCACAGGGGTCTCCAAGCATTAAACAAGAGGCAGCAGAAATAAATCCTGAGCTTGTTTTCCTGCCTGAGGGAGAGCAGAAAAACCATCATTCCATGGGGTTAGATGGGATACTGGGGAGGAATTCCTCCTTGTGAGGGTGGGGAGGTGCTGGGATGGAATTCCCAGAGCAGCTGTGGCTGCCCCTGGATCCCTGGGGGTGTCCCAGGCCAGGCTGGACATTGGGGTTTGGAGCAGCCTGGGGCAGTGGGAGGTGTCCTTGGGCTCCATCCCAAACCATGCTGGGATCCTTTGGTCATTTCTGTGGACACACACATTTATAGAGAGCTGGGGAATTCCAGCTTGGAAATTCCTTTCCAGGCCTGGATTTCTCCTGACTCTCAGCTCCATTCCCAGGCTGACAAGCTGACTGCAGCTTCAGTTAGGGAGGAGTCTCCCAGGGTGACAACATGGTGACAAACAGAGTGGAATTCATCACCAACATTAACCCCTGGTGTCTGTCCCGTGGGACACATCCTGAGGTGCTGTCCCAAGGATGTTTTTCCCAATGAGCTCCTGTCCTGTTCTAGCTTCAAATAACACGATTTAAATACAGAATGTCTGTACAATAAATTTGGCCTTTTTTCCCCACAGACCCCCGTGTGTGTTGCTGTCCTTTCTCTCTCTCTTTGCAGCGCAGTGACCACAAATTTCCACTCCAATTTTTTTTTTTTTTCCAGGGATCTGCCACCGAGGGAGGAGAGCCCAGGGCAGCTCCAGAGGAGCCTCCTTGCCCCAAGCCCCGGAGCCTGTAGGTGGTGATGGGACACACGGGCTGCTGTGCCAGGACGTGGCCGAAGGATCCCCTCCCACTTAACTCCCGACCTTGCCCACGATCCCCTTTGGTTTTTCAGGCCAGAAGAAGCCACAGCCCCGGTGCTGAGCGAGCTGTTCAGCTGCCTGGAGCCGGAGCTGAGGGCGTTTCTGGATGTCTGCAGCAAGGCTCGGCCCCTGGGCTGCCTGCACGTCCTGGGGACCTTGAGTGACGCCGTGCTGGGGACCCGGGGCTCTTGCTCTGCTGCCCCGTCCTTCCTGCACACCCTCCTGAGCAACGTGCTGCTCCTGGCCAAGAGCAACTTCAACAAATGCATCGTGAGTGGCCGTGCTGGGAGGGAGCCCGGTAGACCTGAGTGATGTGCCAGGATCTTCTAAACGGAATCCCAGCATCGTGGAGGTTGGAGAAAACCTCCAGGATCACCAAATCCAAGCTGTGCCCCATCCCCAGCTCGTCACCAGCCCAGAGCTCTGAGTGCCACATCCAAGGGTGTTGTTTGGACACCTCCCCAGACCTCCCTGGGCACAGCCCCGTGTCAGCCTCCAACAAGGAATGTCACATTTCCTTGGAATTATAGAAGGCATTGACGATGGAATGAGCACTCCCAAACCCAGCCCTTTGTTTCGTGCTCCACCAAACGTGGTCGGATCTGAGGGTGCCACGTCTTTGTGTCGTTCTCAGGGGACCTTGTGCAAGGAGATGGAGGAGGCCAAGGCTCCCAGCAGGATGAGGGGAGGGATCCTGCCCTGTGTCAGCCGCTTCCAGGAGTTCGTGGCTTTCTCTGAGGAGGTGTTCAGGACATCCCAGCGCCGGGGGGAGCTGGACAAAGCCCAGCTCAGGCTGGCCAGCAGCGTCTTCAGCAGCAGTGAGTGCCAAGGCTGGGTGTTCTGGTCGGGAAATGTCCCCCTGTGGCTGCAGGAGTGACCAGCTGGGCCACCAGGGCAGGGTGGGAGCTGCCTGTCCCCTGGGCACACCTTTTCCTGAGCAAGATCCTGGGAGCACCAGGAAAATTCCAGGTGATCCAGGGGAGGAGCTGCCTGTCCCCGTGGCACTGTGCACCCCTGAAACCCCTTTTCCTGAACAAGAGCCTTGGAGCACCAGGAAAATTCCAGATGTGGCAGGGTAGGAGCTGCCTGTCCCTGGGCACTGAAACCTCTCTCCCCAAGCTCTCTGATCCTGACAGCACCAGGAAAATTCCAGATGTGGCAGGGTGGGAGCTGCCTGTCCCTGGGTACTGAAATCTCTCTCCCCAAGCTCTCTGATCCTGACAGCACCAGGAAAATTCCAGGTGTGGCAGGGTGGGAGCTGCCTGTCCCCTGGGCACCCCTTTTCCTGAGCAAGATCCTGGGAGCACCAGAGGAATTCTGGGTGTCTGTCACAGCGGGATGGGGTGACAGGGCTGATGCACACAAGGGCTCAGCTTTGGATCCAGTTCCAACATGTCCTGCCCCACTATGGGGGGAGAGCTCCTCATGGATCAGACTCCTCTTACAAGGTCTTGGGAGCTCAGAAAAAATTCCCCTAAAAACACCAAGGGGTGCTTGGGAGGGAGAGAGGGATTGGGAGAGTGGGGTTGGGAGCTTCCAGCAGATCCCTGTCTTGTCCCAGCTGGAGCCCTCAGCTTCCTGTCAGGGAAATCTCCTTTTCCTGCCTGGAGAGGACCCGAGGGGCTGCAGAATTCACAGCTCTGGGCACAGATCTCAGGTGGTGCAGAGCCTGGGCTGACCCACTGATACATCCACGGACACTGCCAGGCTCCAGGAATGTTTGCAGGGATCAGGGATCAGGATTGGTGTTATAATTATTCCCTGCGAGGTCAGACGGCTCAAATGAGCCATCCCAAAGGCACATCCCCCCTGAGAGCCCGCAGGGGTTTCTCTCCTGATTCCCTCCTTCCTCTCCAGTCAGCAGCCTGTCCTCAGCAAACCTGAGGGTGAACACGGATATGGTGATGATGGAAAATTTCCACCACGTCCACAACTTCCTGTGCCAAAAGAACATCCCCTGCCTGGAGGACAAGAAGAGAGAAGCCATGCAAAGGTCCAGGGAGCACATGGAGAAATTTGTCACCACATCCCTGGGCCAGACCCTGGAGAGGCTCCAGGTGAGTGCAGGACCCTGGCCTGGAAGGGCAAAGGCTCTTCCCAAAACTCGGGATGTTCAAATCTCCCTGCCCTGAATGCACTCTGGGATTATGTTACCTTGTTGTCACAGGACAGGAGAGCACCTGGAACTCATTTTGCTCAGGGATTCCCAAAATCCTGGCATGGCCTTCTGCAGCTCTCCCAGCCTGAGCATGAACTTTTCTATTTAATCACAAAATACCACCCAAACCCATGAAGAAGAAGGTGAAGAAGAAAGAAACCTCCACCCTAAAACCTCCATCTTGCTTTATTTACATTACTATATTCTAAACCCTTCAACTTTGAGCTTTCCACTATGTGATATTACAAACTTTTATTTAAACTGCACACCCACAATCCCAGTTCTATCACTCAATTTTGGAAGCCTTCTCCAAAATCCTCGGGTTAAATGCAGCGTTCTCTTGGGTGTCAGTGCTTGTCAGCAGAGAAAGTCTAAAATTCTAAATCTAAAATTCTCAGTGGCCAGGGTTCCAACACACAGGAGGCAGAATTCCAAAGAACTGGTGGGGAGCTTTGTTCCCAGTTTGTTCCCAGTTTGTTCCCAGTTTGTTCCCATCCCCGCTCCAGTTGCGTGCCGGCATCTGGCAGATCCCAGTTAATTTTTCATTTTAATTTAGCTGCCTGGCCTGATCCATCCAACCCTTCCCAAGTGGCTGCTTTGTTAACTGAGCTGAGAGCATCTGGCTCTGCTAACTCAAACAGACATTCCCTCCTTCCCTCTTCCTAAAACGTCTCACAGACGGAGCTCAGCTGGAATTATTTATGGGACCTGTTACTTCCAATTTGTTTCCAGTCGTTGCTGTCAAACATTTGTTGGCTTGGCTGGAAAATCAGCTCCGTGTCTCGTGCTACCTGAGCTCTGCCATGGCTTCAAATCCTCCCTTTTCCAAGGGAAAGGATCATTTTATTGCTCATAACAGAGTGAGTGGGATATCAGGGCACCTGAGTTTCCCAAAATCCTGGCTCCAGCTCTCCCAGTTTCTCTTCCCCAAGGGAAGGTGCAAAGAGGTGTAAGTAAAGCAGGAGCTGATTCCTGGTTCTTGGAAACAGTTCGTGCATTTAGGATCTCAAAATCCTTGGGATTTAGGGTATTCCTCCACAGCCAAGTTGCAGCTGGAACACTGAAATGGATTCCTGGGCTGGATGAAGAGGCAGGAGGATGAAGGAAGGGACGATTCCCTTGTTTTCAGCAGATGTGGAATGCCCGGCCCAGCTCTGGCAGAGATGTCAGGAGAACTGAGAAAATCCAGGTTTTGTTTTCCACCTCTGCAGGTTCTGGGATCCCCCATCCCCACCTCTGGCTCCAAAGTTTCTGTGGGGAGAAAACTGGGGGGGAGCACCAAGGAACTGGAGGGATTTTCCAGCAGTCCCACTGCTCCATGGGGCTGCAACCCTTAGGGATGCTGCTTGTTGAGCAGGGAGGGGAGAGAACCACGGAATTCCCTAAATTCTGCTTTCCTGGAGGACAAAAATCTCCATTCTCAATTCTTAAATTCTTTGTTTGAACTAAATTAGACATGGGAACCGAGGGCAGCGTTCAGGTGTCAGCCCTGGAGCAGGAATCCACCTCAGGATGGCTCTTCATGGAATTTCTCCTTCCCTTCCCAGAATTTTCATGGAATTTCTCCTTCCCTTTCCAGAATTTCATGGAATTTCTCCTTCCCTTTCCAGAATTTCATGGGATGTCTCCTTCCCTTTCCAGATTTTCATGGAATTTCTCCTTCCTTTTCCAGCATTTCTTTGAGGGGGTCAAAGCCCGCCTGGCTCAGGGGGTGAAGGAGGAGGAGCTCAGCTTCCAGCTGGCCTACAGCAAGCAGGAACTCCGGAAAGTCATGGAAAAATATCCTGGCAAGGAAGTCAAGAGAGCCCTGGAGAGCCTCTACAGGACCATCCACAAATGTCTGTCCCCAGAGGAAAATCTTCTGCCGGTAACTGGAGCGGGATGGGGGCGAGAATGGGATGGTTGGGATTCAGGAATGCCTGTGTGGCTGCAGGGCAAGGAGCTGAGGTTTGCTTTTCCAGGTGCTGTGGCAGCCCATGGAGCAGGGATTTGTTTTTCCAGGTGGTGTGGAAGGCCATGGAGCAGGATTTTGTTTTTCCAGGTGGTGTGGAAGGCCATGGAGCAGGAATTTGTCCGGCAGTACCGAGAGTTTGAGGAGCTCATCCAACGCTGCTATGCAGGATCAGGGATTGCCCTGGACTTCACCATGGAGGACTTGCTGAGCTACTTCAACTCCATCACCAACATGTAGGGAAATCCCTTTCTGGATGTGGGGAGCAGCTCAGGAATCCTTGTCTGCAGCCACATCTCCGAGGAGCTGATCACAAAACCATTCCCAAGTTGGATATTTGGGATCCCACAAAACCATTCCCAAGTTGATATTTGGGTTCCCACAAAACCATTCCCGAGTTGGATATTTGAGATCTCACAAAACCATTCCCAAGTTGATATTTGGGTTCCCACAAAACCATTCCCGAGTTGGATATTTGGGTTTCCTCAAAACCATTCCCAAGTTGATATTTGGGTTTCCACAAAACCATTCCCGAGTTGGATATTTGAGATCTCACAAAACCATTCCCAAGTTGGATATTTGGGTTTCCTCAAAACCATTCCCAAGTTGGTTATTTGCGTTCCTACCCTGAACTTAATCCTAAAATCTTGGTCCTGGACTAAGACCCAAACCACAACTTCCCAGCTCCAGGAAACCATTTTTCCACCAGGAAAAGACCCTGAAAGTCTCAGATTTCCACCAGTTCCTCAGCAGAACGTTCCCAATGGAAAAACATCTTCTCTCCAGGGACTTTCTCCTCTTTTGTGCTCGAAGTTCAGTGAGCCTGTGCTCAGCCAGAGGGTTAAACCACATGGAGACACTCCAGGGTGAGGTGCTCCCACATCCAGGTATCCCAACAGGCACTGCTGCTCCACAGCCCAGCAGATGAAAGTCCAGGGCTGTAAATATTAATGGATTTATTGCTTTTAGCTCAGATTTTATTCACATCTCAACTGGAGTGGAGAAGCGTGTGTTGGTTCTAGAGATGCAAACCAACCCCTCAGGGAATTTCTTGCTTTTAACTCATTTTCTTAGGGATCTTCCTACACCAGCTCACCAATATATTGTCATTTTTAAAATGTTGTCTCTGCTTCTTGGGATGATCGTGGGGTTCATATTGTCTGTCACAACCTTCTTCCTAAACAGCTGAAGAGTCTGAACTCTTTGATATTTACCTCACAGGACAAAGATTGTTTTATTTATTTTGTGTGCTAGGAAATAATCTTGGAGGCAAGATTCCCTGTCCATTGCCAGGGAGGGTAAATAATTACCAGGAGGTAATCCATGACCAGGGAGGCTGCTTGGACAATTCCTCTTCTCCAGGGATATCCTGGATTCTTCAGAGGGAGTTTAAACCAGCACATAAACCCAACTTTCCCTTGCAAAGGGAAAAAATCCAGACTGTTTTTCTGGGATTTTCCAAGCAGTTGGTCTTTGGGTCAAGGTCCAGCTCTGCAATGTTTAGAGCTCATGTTTCCAATCTCCTCATTCCCTCCCTTTGTCCCTTTGTGACGTGGCTGCTCCCAGCAGGAAGAGGAGGGTCAGAGGAATCCACCCAGCGCTGCCTTCCCAGCTCTTCATCCCTCTGCAGGTAACAGGAATTTCACTGCCCCGTTCCCTTTGGGTTTTTGGCTCAGGTGCTCACCTGGGAGGGGAGAGCAGGAGGTGGGAGCTGTAGGATGAGACATGGAGGTGCTGGGACATGAAGGACACCAGGGCTGAAGGGATTTGCAGAGGGATTGAGCCACCTGGTTTTCCTGTTGCTGTGGTGGCCCATGGAGCAGCAATCCTGCATTTCCAGGTGTTATGGAAGGCCATGGAGCAGGGTTCTGGTTTTCCAGGTGCTGTGGAAGGTGGCTCCAAGGTTTTGAACACCAAACACCAGCAAGGAGGGGCAGGGATTCCTCTGGGTCTGGTGATGGCTCCCCCAAACTGGTGCAGTCACTGGGGACAGTGCCATGGAATGGGATAATGGGATCTTGCTCCAAACAGACTCCTCAGATCCCACTGGAGCTGCTCCAGTGTCTGTGGGATCTCTCCTCACCCACCACTTCCCAATAAATCATGGAAATCATTGAGGTTGGAAAAGCCCTCTGAGATCCTGGAGTCCAACCATTCCCTGCCAGCATCTCCCTAAGCCACATCCCCAAAAAGCCAAGCTCAGAGGATCTGAGCCCAGCCTAAGCCAGCAGGATCCTCTGTGGCCCCAGGCTGGTGAATCCCCCCACCCTGAGCCCCTGCCCTCACCCTCTGCCTGCTGGGGACGTCTGGCAGCTGGAAGACGAGTGACAAGAAACAAGAAAAATCCTCGGATGTTTTGTCTCCACTCACTGGATGAAAGGAATTTCACGGGAATCAGAGGAATTTCATGGGAATGGCGTGAATTTCCTGGGAATGGTAGAAATCAAAGGAATCAGAGGAATTTCTTGGGAATGGAGGGAATTTCTTGGGAATGGCAGGAATTAAAAAGGTTTCATGGGAATGGCAGGAATTTCTTGGGAATTGTAGAAATCAAAGGAATCAGAGGAATTTCTTGGGAATAGTGGGGATTTCTTGGGAATGGTGAGAATTTCTTGGGAATGGTGGGGATTTCCTGGGAATGATGGAGACTCTGGGGAGTGTGGTAGGAATAGGGATCCCCTGGATGCTGGTGCTTTAAGGGGGTTTGGTTACCAGGCTGGAGGGGAAGGTTCCTGGGGTGACCCGGAGGGGATTTGGTGTCCTGGGAGGATCAAGGTGGGATTTGGTGGTTCTGGGGAGGGTCAGGGCCACCGAAGGTGACCTCTGGGTGAATATAGGCTCGGCTCCACCTGGATGAGTGTCCACACCTGGAGGGACCCCAGAGGGAGGGAGGATCCCAGACGTGATCCCATCCTTGGTGCACACGGGGTTTTTGTGTGTGGGGAGTTTGGCATCTCGGTGACATCAGCGCTCAGAGAGGTCACCTGGATTGTCCCCCACACCTGGCCCAGCCGGGGGCTCTGACAGCCTCAGGTGCCAGCAGATGCAGGCCAGAGTCAGGATCTTGCAGAGAGGAGGATTTATTGCTTCTGTACTTGTGCCACCTGCAGGACACAGGAAAACCTGGGCGGTCCCCTGGAGCATTTTCCATTTCCCTGCATAGCTGGATGCTCCTAACTTCCATCTTCTCCATTTTCATGCCAGTTCCCAGCCCTGAGAGCATGGCTTGGAAGGAGAAGGGCACGAGCCCACCCTCGTGTTTCATCCAGCACCTGGATCACCTTGTGCTGACTGTGAAGAGCATTGAGGACACCGTGGCCTTTTATTCCAAAGTCCTGGGCATGGAGGTGGTGACTTTTAAGGTAACCCTCACCTGAGTGAGCAGGACCCCACCAGGTCCCCAGGGTTTCCAGGGCTGCTCAGGGAGTGGATGATGAAGGTGTCCAGCCCAGGAAATCTCTTGTAGCCCAGTGGTGTGGGGGCTTTGCAGCACCTAATTAGTGATTTGTCATCAGTCTCGACTGTTTTCTTTCAGAGCCAGGATTAACAGAAACACGATTGAAACAGTTTTTCTCGTGTTTGGGTTTGGATGTTTATTATATCTTAGCAGAAAGTACAGAGAGTTTGACAGCACTTCCAGCTCCAGGAGTGAGGAAAAGTGGCCACAGAGGCAACTGCTACAAGGCCTTTTAAGGCTCAACAGCCCAATAGAGAATTAACACCGATATTATTTATACTTTTGACCCAATAACTAAATTCCCATGACCCTTAGAGTGACACTGACTGAGCCACCAGAAACTACTACCTGAAATTTATAAAGAAGAAGAAAGAAGAGGAAAGATGAGCAAAGAAAGAGATAATGCCCAAAAATCTTCATGTTGTCCCATATCTATTACTATACTATAAAAGCCCCAAATTTAAAACCCATCACCGTGTGAAAGCACACACTTCTAATTCACAGCACACTCGTGATTTTTACTCCATCACTCAAATTTGGGAACCTTCTCCAAGACCTCAGGTCAAAAGCAGTGTTTTCCAGGGGGTCTGTGCCTGAAAGCACAGAAAGCTCAAAACCTCCAGATTTCTGGGATCCAGGAGTCTCCCTGACTTTTCCTTTTCCTTTGGGGACAGGGCAATCGCAAAGCTTTACGTTTTGGCCAGCAGAAGTTCAACCTGCACGAGGCTGGGCAGGAGTTTGAGCCCAAGGCTCGGCGCCCGGTGCCCGGCTCTGCAGATTTCTGCCTGATCACAGCAGCGCCCCTGGAGAAGCTGCTGGAGCATCTGGAGGTGAGACACGAACCCAGAGCCTCTAAGTGACGCTTTCCTGGAATTCCCCTGGAATTTCCTGGGCGCTGTCAGGGTTGTGTCATCCCGCAGTTGGTGTTTTCAAGGCTGGGGGAGGAGGGCACGATGGGGACATGACCTTGCTCTCCTGTGTCCTCCAGGCCTGTGGGGTGGCCATTGAGGAAGGTCCCGTGGCCAGAACCGGTGCCGTGGGTCCAATAACCTCCGTCTACTTCCGAGACCCCGACGAGAACCTGGTTGAGGTTTCCAGGTACTGCACAGATGTGGCTGCAGGCACTGAGGGGAAACCCTGAGCACAGCCCAAGCTCTGCCTGTGAGGAGTCCCAGCAGGAGATGGACCAGGTTTACAGAGGCCAGGCTTGGCTGGACCATTTGAAAGTCCAAGTTTTAATTGTGTAAACCTGGGACAAAGCTCATATCACAGCCACAAAGTCGGGCTGAGAGGACATTGGGAGTTTTCCCAAGGCAGCCTGCTCTGCTCTGGGTGTGAATCCTGCTTTGATAATCTCCACCACAGAGACTTCGTGGCCTTCTGGAAAGATCTGCCCTGCTGCTGCTGCACTGCAAATTTTGGGACATTTTCCCTAATTCCTGCTATCCCTTTTGCTGCAGTTGAAGTTCTCATTCCTACACTGCCCACCTGTCACTCCTCTCCTCTTCAAAGTCACTTTTTCACAGCTGGAAATTTCTGTCTCCCTTCCTTTCATCCTCCTGCTTATTGTCTCAACCTGCTCGGTGCTGGTGGCTCTCCCACCAAGCCAGAGGTTTAAATCCAGCTGTGACTGTCCAAACACACTCCTCGCCTGGAATTTGGGGATTTGGCCTCAGTGTGACCCACAAACACTCCTGAAACTGAAGCTCCAAGTTTCATCCTCAGCTCTGTATCAATAATTGTGGGTTTTCTGAAACTCAGGAATGGAAAAAGCAGGGATGAGGATCCAGTTCACCTGGATTTATGCAGGGATTGAGGATGGTCTGACACAGAGGAGTCTGACTCTGGTTACTTGTGGGATTGTCCTAAATTTTCTTCTTCCTTTAGTGATTTAAAAAGCCTTTTCAGAGTAATCTAAAAAGTATAAACCACTGAAGGATTCTCAAGCAGAGCAGTTCCAAGGCTGGCCACACTGAGGTAGCATCGATATCCTCACGGGAGCGGCGCTGGAAAGGAGGGAGGACTCTCCTGACCTCTACAGTCCAAATCCTCTATAAAATTGAAACAACTTCTCAATCGCACTCATTTTTTCCTTGCTGGAATTTCTTAGGAAATCCAAAATTCTTCATGGCGCGAAAAAAAAAAAAAAAAAGGCAAAGTCACAAAATATGCAGTGCTTTGGCTGATCAGCGGCGATGAGCTGGTTTCCATGTGGGAGCTAAAGACAGGATTGCCGTGGGACAAAGCCACGGGCATCTCCTCTCCTTCACCTTGTGAATGGAGATCCGGGAAGGGACCCCCGGGAAGGGACCCCAGGGAGAGACCCCAGGGAGCGGAGTCCCCTCGGCCCCGGAGCCCGCGGATCATCCGGCGGCTGCTCTCCAGGGTGCTGATGTCCCCCGGCCGGGTCCGTGACCCTCGCAGGGTCAAACCCCACGGGAGAGGGTCAAACCCCATGGGAAGGAGATCAAACCCCACGGGAAAGGGTCAGTCCCACAGGAGAGGGTCAAACCTCATGGGAGAGGGTCAGACCCCATGAGAGGAGGTCAAACCCCATGGGAGGGGGTCAAACCCCATAGGAGAAGGTCAAACCCCATGGCAGAGGGTAAAAACACATGGGAGGGGGGTCAAACCCCATGAAAGGAGGTCAAACCCCATGGGAGAGAGTCAAACCCCATGGGAGGAGGTCAAACCCCATGGGAGAGGGTCAAACCCCACAGGAGAGGGTCAAACCCTATGGGGAGGGGTCAAACCCCATGGGAGGAGGTCAAACCCCACAGGAGAGGGTTTCACTCCTCTCTTGGAGCCCATCCTGGCCCTGTTGGTCCCTGGCTGGCCTGGAGGGCACCGGCTCCGTGCCCTTCCCGTTCACTGGAGGGTGAGACATGGAATGACACTTGTGGGGCTCTCACACCTGGCCCAAAGCACGGGAAACTCAAAACAATCTCTGGGGATCGATGCTTTTCCCTGGAGAAACCACAGGCCACCATTCCAGCTATCCCAATCCCAACCTCTGCTGGGCTCCCCATCTATGGGAAAAGCCTCTGGATTGTGAATATTCTAATTAAAACTGATGGTTTACATAAAGCAGCATCAAATCTTTATGGAGAAAATGAATTTAATTCTGTTCTTTATTCAGCAAGATTCACTATGATTATTGGACAGGTGGGAAAACAGTTTTCTTCTGGATGGTTCGTTCCCTGCACAAACCACGACCAGCAAAAGAGAAAAGGATCTTCCTTCTTGTCTGCTCCCATCTCGCCCCTCTTGAATCCTAATTCCCACAGCAGATTCCACAATTTTATCACGATCATATTGGGAAGGAGCTCTTTGGATCATCAGTCCCAGTGTTTCATGTGGAGAAATGTTGAGTTCTCCATCTCACCGCTCAGGGAGGGTGCAGGGGAAGGAGCCTTCCAGGGAATGGCTGCTCAGGAGCACAGATTTCATCCCAGCTGGAAAGATGAGTTAAGAGCCGAGTCTCAATGAGCTTCCCCTCCTCTCACAGGAGGGAAACGCGAATTTCCCAATGGGAGTCACAGTGTGTGTGCCCAAGTCACCTCCCAGAGAAGCCCATGGGCCACCTGGTGAGCCAGCTCGGAACAGGAGCTTGGGAAAGCCTGGGAAAGCCAGGAGGAATGGTGTGGGACATCCTGGGATGGGCAGGGATCACCCTCGGGGTGTAGGACTGATGTAGGATTCCTCACCCACCATCTTCCCTTCAGAAAAGACATCCAGCTCTGAAGGGTCCTCAAACCATCCTTTGCACATGGAGAAGTGGCAGACACTGCCCAGGGGGCTGGAGAAACGCGAGGTTTTTACTGGAAAGGAAAAGAATCCCTCTCTGCCAGAGAGTTCTGCAGGCTGGGCTGCTCACAACAAGGATGGATTTTTCCTGTGGCCAGTGGGACTGCCTGACCCTGATCCCAAAAGTGCCCAGAGGAGCACTGAGAAAAGCACAGGCTCTGCAGCTGAACTTCCTCCTCCTCCTCTTCCCAGACTCGGCGTCCTGAACAGAAAATCTTGGAATCCAGCTGTAAGAAATGCGTGGGCACGGTTCCTCCTGGAGAACTCGATGATAACCCCAGGATTCTCAGAGATTTCCACGGGAATTTTTTTATATACTGGTGGTGACCTTTCAGCTCCTCAGCCAGCATCGACCAGGAGTTGGAGTTTACTCCACGTGCTGGTCCAGACACACCTCCTGCCTCGTGGGTTCCTTTGGAATGATCTACTGGAAGGGGCGGGAACTTCCCTGTCCTTGGGAATCAATAGGAAAGCACCAATGAAGAAAGGAATGGCAGCTTCACCAGGACCAGCCCCTCACCAAGCCCCCCGTGCTGTCCCCTCACAGGCTGCAGGCCAGCTGGGAGCTGTCTGACAGGTTCTCCAGGTTGTCCACCAGAGTGATGATGGCTTCTATTTTCTCCTCTGGAAGCACGTGGGAGGCGTTGGACCGAAACTTCTTCAGGAGCGACTCTTTGCTCAGGGGCTTCCTCCAGTGGCCGTAGAAAGTGTCACACTTGCCCGTCAGCACGTCGCCGCTGTGCAGGAGCAGGGCCACCTCTCCGTACATCTTGTCAAAGTTGGCCACGTTGTCCTCGGGGTGCTCCACCACCACCTTGTCCAGCAGCTCCCGGAGCTCCTGGCGCTGGATGCTGCTGTCGGAGAAGGAGCCCAGGCCCACGTCGCCGTCCAGCAGGGCAGCGCAGGCGTTGAACTGGAAGGAGTGCCTGGCCTGGTGCTCGGAGCTGGGGAAAGGCCGGTTGATGTACTTGGACACCGGGATCTTGAGCACGATGCTGCGGATCAGCGACGGCGAGAAGGACCCGGCGTAGTTAACGAAGAGATTCCGGACGGACAAAGCGGCGTCCACCACCCAGTGCATGCCCAGATGGGCTGGGAATCTCTTGAAGGCGATGTCCTGCTTTTCCAGCAGGAACTCGTGGTGCTCCCCGGGCGCCGGCAGCGGTTTGGGGTGGTAGACGCTGTAGAAGGCGCCGAAGCCGGAGCAGCCGGGAATGTCATCCAGGATCAAAGGGTTGGCCTCCATCCCTCGGGCCGCCAGCAGAGCGGCCTCCAAGCCCAGGCGGGTGGCGTTGCCCACGTGCAGAGGCTTGGCCTGGGTGGCAGCGTTGGCCATGGGTGCCCCGGCCAGCGAGGCGGCGATGCCCAGGGCGTGGCAGCACTGCGCGGAGCTGAGCGACAGCAGCTTGGCGGCGGCCGCGGCGCTGCCCAGCGTGCCCACCACCGAGGGAGGGTGGAACCTGCAGGGGGATGGCAGGGGTGAGCAGAACTGGGTGCCTGGCATGGGTGAAAACAGAGCTTTCTTCCCATGGAGAAATCAATGGAAAATCAGGGGTACAGGTAACACCAAAGCATTCCTCCCATGGAGAAATTAATGGAAAATCAGGGGCATGGATAAAACCAAAGCTTTCCTTCCATGGAAAAATTAATGGAGAATTAGGGACATGGGTAACACCAAAGCATTCCTTCCATGGAGAAATTAATGGAGAATCAGGGGTACAGGTAACACCAAAGTATTCCTTCCATGGAGAAATTAATGGAAAATCAGGGACATGGGTAACACTGAAGCAATTTTCTCAAATAAAAATTAATGGAAAATCAGGGTATGGGTAACACCAAAGGATTCCTCCCAGGGGAAAAATTAATGGAGAATCAGGGGTACAGGTAACACCAAAGCAATCCTCCCATGGGAAAAATTAATGGAGAATCAGGGGTACAGGTAACACCAAAGCAATCCTCCCATGGGAAAAATTAATGGAGAATCAGGGGCATGGGTAACACCAAAGCAATCCTCCCATGGAGAAATTAATGGAGAATCAGGCGCACAGGTAGCACTAAAGCAATTATCTCAAAGAAAGATTAATGGAAAATCAGGGTATGGATAACAACAAAGGATTTATCCCATGGAAAAAATTAATGGAAAATCAGGGGCGTGGGTAAAAACAGAGCTTTCCTCCCACGGAAAAATTAATGGAGAATCAGGGGCACGGGTAACACTAAAGCAATTTTCTCAAAGAAAAATTAATGGAAAATCAGGGGAACAGGTAACACCAAAGCATTCCTTCCATGGAGAAATCAATGGAAAATCAGGGGTACAGGTAACACTAAAGCATTCCTTCCATGGAGAAATTAATGAAAGATCAGGGGCATGGAGAAAACCAAAGTTTTCCTTCCATGAAAAATTAATGGAAAATCAGGGACATGGATAACACCAAAGCAATACTCCCAAGGAAAAAATTAATGGAGAATCAGGGGTACAGGCAACACCAAAGCATTCCTTCCATGAAAAATTAATGGAAAATCAGGGGCATGGATAAAACCAAAGCTTTCCTTCCACGGAAAAATTAATGGAGAATTAGGGGCACAGGTAACACAAAAGCATTCCTTCCATGGAGAAATTAATGGAGAATCAGGGACATGGGTAACACTGAAGCAATTTTCTCAAAGAAAAATTAATGGAAAATCAGGGTATGGGTAACACCAAAGCAATCCTCCCATGGAAAAAATGAATGGAATATCGGGGGCCCATCTGCCAGTGGAACTCCCTCGTGGCTCTGGTGTGGGTGGGATTCACCTGACTCAAAATTCGACCATAAATTTGAACTAATAAATTAACTTCAAAATCAGAGTTTTAGTAGAGTTTAGTTTAACCCTAAATTTAGAGTTAATTAACATAAATTTAATCTAAAAGCTGAGTTTCCCCTTGAAACCTCCTCAGAAACACCAAGGAGAGCTCAGCATGTCCAGGAATCAATTTGAACTTTGTCCAGGAGGTGCCATGGCTGGTGCCCACAGCAGCCAAATCCCTCAGACAAATAATTCAGCCTCAAGCACACCCGAGGGAGCAGCTCCTGCTTGATTCCATCGCCTGGATCACTCCAGGGCACTGCTGGTGCCAGCACTTGGCCCAGGGGCTGTGCCCAACTCCAAACCCTGCTGGGTGCTGGGATCCTGCCCTGGCACTGCAGCCTCCCTGGGAGCCCTCCCGAGGGTTATTTTTGAGGCAAAATCTTTGGAAATCACCAAATGAATTCATGGTGCAATCACCTCTGGCATTTGGTGCTCGGTAAGGCTTTACCCTGGGGTAAAGCTGAATTAAATTAGACTTAAACTTGGCTTAACATCTGACTCGCCAACCCTCTCCCTCCTCGGTGAAGAAGAGGAGATTTTTTTACCTTTTGGGAATGTCGTGAGCCTCGGTGGAGAAGTGCATGAGCCTCCCTTGCACCTCCAGGCCCACGTTGAAGGCCAGCAGGAATTCCAGGCCGTTGGGTTTGGTTTTGGGAGGGAGCATCTGGGAAGCTGCCAGGAGAGCCGGGAGCACGGCCCCCGAGGGGTGGGTGGCAGGGTGCCACGTGTCGTCAAAATCCATGGAATGTGTCTGCCAGGGAAACAGAGGTGAGGGAATGAGGGCTCCCTGCTGGTATTCCTGAGGGAATTCTGCCAAAGCCTCCACTCTGTGTCCCTAAGGCTCCTCGAAAAACAAGGAGATTCCCGGCTTTTGTCTCCCCATCAAATTCTGTCAATTCTGTTTCCTGGAATGCTAGCTCCTGGCACCACAGGGAAGATTCCCCTGGAAGGGCTGGGAGCACAAATTCCTCTGGAAAATCCAGGAGCACAAATTCCCTTGGGAAAAGCAGGAAGCACAAATTCCCCTTGGAAAAACCGGGAGCACGAATCCACCTTGGAAAAACTGGGAGCACAAATCCTCTTGGAAAAGCCAGGAGCACAAATTCCTTTGGAAAAGCCTGGAGCACAAATTCCCCTGGAAGGGCCGGGAGCAGAAATCCCCTTTGGAAAAGCCAGGAGCAGAAATTCCTTTGGAAAAGCCGGGAGCACAAACTCCTCTGGAAAAGCACAGATACCCCTTGGAAAAGCCGGGAACCCAATTTCCCAGGGAAAAGCCGGGAGCACAAATTCCTTTGGAAAAGCCTGGAGCCCAATTTCCCTGGGAAAAGCCGGGAGCACAAATTCCTTTGGAAAAGCCGGGAACAGAGATTCCTTTGGAAAAGCACAGATACCCCTAAGAAAAACCGGGAGCACAAATTCCCCTGGAAGGACTGGGAGCAGAAATCCCTTTGGAAAAAACACGGATACCCCTGACAAAAGCCGGGAACACAAATTTCCTTGGAAGAGCACAGTCACCCCTTGGAAAAGCCGGGAGCACAAATTCCTTTGGAAAAACAGGGAACAAAAATTCCTTTGGAAAAGCCGGGAAGACAAATTCCTTTGGAAAAGCACAGATACCCGTGGGAAAAGCCGGGAACACAAATTCCTTTGGGATAAACACGGATACCCCTGAGAAAAACCGGGAGCACAAATCCCCCTTGGAAAAGCACAGATACCCCTTGGACAAAGCAGGAGTCCAAATTTCCTTGGAAAAGCCCCGAGCAGGTCCCGGGCACGCCCGTGCCGTCCTTACCGCCACGCCGTTGGTGAAGGCAGCCAGGGTCGGGGACAGCTTCAGGCCGGGCTTTCCATAAACTGAGCTCACGGCCACGGAGGAGTAGAGCTCCTGCGGGAATAGGAGATAGCACAGGGTTAAAATGTTCCTAAAAATCATAGGAATGCACTACATTCAGGGGATAGGCCTGGGAAAGGGAACTGGGCTCTGGGAACCAATATGGAGCTTTGTTTTTCTAGATCATGTGAAGCTACAGCTGTGTAATCATCATGTGATAAATGATCTGATTGTTAAATGTAATGATTGGTTGGTAATTGAATATGATTATTGTTTAATTGTAATAAGAATCATGAGAAAAGGTATTTGGGGGGCCTGATGGAAATGACAAGAATTCATGCTTGGATAAGATCAATGTATACAATAGAACAATATGGGTTTAATAATTAATATATAGTTATAGAACGAAAAGGGTATAAAAACATGTTTATCTGGGATCCATGTGGGATCAGATTCGGGTCTGCACCCCTCGTTCCCAGAGCTCCTCAATAAAGCACCTGCCTCTAATCATCCTGGAATTGTGTTTTCAACGCTGACAAGGGGAGCCCTGGGGCCAGCAGCCACCGGGAGCAGCCCCGGGCGTGGCAGTGGCGGTGAGAGTGGCAGTGGCCGTGTCAGTGGCCACGGGCGTGGCCGTGGGGGTGACAGCGCTGTCCCTACCCGGCAGTAGCGCAGGGCGATGTCGAACACGGTGGTGGTGCTGCCCACCAGCCCCACGCCGATGCTGTCCAGGATCATCCTCTTGCTGCGCTGCCGCACGGTCTGGGACAGATGCTCGGGCCGCGCCGCCTGGATGAAGGAGGCGAAGCTGCCGCTCACCGACTCCTCCGGGGCTCTCCGGGCCACCACTGCACAGGGGACACAGCGAGGGGACAGGGACATTGCTGAGCTCCGAGCCCCCGGCACAGCGGGCATGGGGAGCTGCAGCTGCCCCAGGCAGGAGGGGGAGTCTGGGGAGTCGTGCAAGGGCAGGGAAATGGAATTCATCATCCCCATGGCTCCCTGCCCGCTTGGGATACTCTCTGATCCTGTATAGAAATGGATATATTTTATCGAGATATAAAATTTCATATCCCACACATGCCCCGAGCTCCTCCCGGGGTGGCTTCCAAAAGTTTCAGGTGAAGAAACCTCAGAGCTCAGCCCCATCCCCTCACCCTGGGCTTCCAACAACCATTTTTTGAGGGGTATCGACACAAATGATGTCCCTTTATCCAGAGGAAAGGCAGAGCAGGAATGGACCACAGAAATTCAAAACTTCCACAATTTTTTGGAAAGCAGGACTGGAGCCAGAGCCTGGATTGATCCAGATGTTTCATCCTACAAGGCACTGAAATCTTGACTCAGCCTCTAAAGCCCTGCATACTCCAAAGGATGCTAATCCTTAAAAATAAGTTAAAATAATTAAAAATAAGTTAAAATTCTATGGAAATTACCCAGTTTGTGTCTATTGTATATTTTCATTTCAGTGACAAATTGCCTTGTTTAGATTATATATAGATCATTATTATACATTATTTTATATAATATAAAAATATTATATTATATATTATTAAATTACCAATATTAACAATATCAATATTATTAAATTATAAAATATTATTATCATTAAATATATTATAAATCTATATTATATGACATAAAATTTTGTATCTAATAATTTTATAATTAACACCGCATTTTATAATATTATTCTGTATTCTAGAAGGTAGAATACAGAACATACTGAATATAATTATATTTATAATTCATAGAATTTAAATTGCTATTCAAATTAAATTAAAATAGCTATTAAATTGCTATTGCTGTTACCATTTATACTGTTAGTCTGGGAGGGCACAGGAGAGCAGGAAAAATAAAATTCCATGCAGCCAACATTTTTAGGATGGCAAATCCGTACATTTACTTATGGATGGATGTGAGGGTGCACACACAGATGGAGATAAAAGATGAATTAACGTCCAAAGAAAGGTGAAAAAAATAAAAACCACTTTGCACCAAGAGGAAAGCTCATCCCAGATCGGCAGGTACACAGGAGGCTTTGTTTTTGGAACAGCAAACATGGCAATTAATGAAATGACCATTCCCTAATTTCCCTGGTTTGGATTCATCCCGAAATGTCACATCGGTGACTCACGGAGCGCTGGCTCGTGTTCGGGCTCCCCTCGAGCCCAGTCTGAGCCGCCCGTAAACACAGCTGGGAATGCCATCAGCGCCTGACTCACCGGGAGAACATTCCCTGTCCCGGGGAACAGGAACCTGGGCACTCACAGCTCCGGGCTCCACTGCCCAGCCCAGCCCGGCTCCCCCCGGAGCATCCCCGATTCCCCCAGGGCATCCCCGGGTCCCCCGGAGCATCCCTGATTCCCCCAAGGCATCCCTGGGCCCCCCTGGATCATCCCCGGCTCCCCCAGAGCATCCTCGGGTACCCTTGGAGCATTCCCGGCTCCCCTCAGAGCATTTCCGAGTGCCCCCGGAGCATCCCCCGGCTACCGTTGGAGCATCCCCGGGTCTTCCCGGAGCATCCTCGGCCCCCCTGGAGCATCGCCGACTCCCCCGGATCATCCCCGGCTCCCCCCGGATCATTCCCGGCTCCCCTGGATCATCCCCGGCTCCCCCCGGATCATTCCCGGTTCCCCCCTGGAGCATCCCCGAGTTGTCCCTGGATCATCCCCGGTTCCCCCCGGATCATTCCCGGCTCCCCCGGATCATTCCCTACTCCCCCCGGATCATCCCCGGCTCCCCCCGGATCATCTCCTGCCCCCCCCGGCTCCCCCCGCTGCCCTCCCGGAGCTCTCCCGGTGCTCTCAGGGCTTGGAGAGGCTGCAGGAAAATCTTCTCCAACCACTCAGCACCCAGAAAAGTTGGATTGGTTCCTCCCCGCTATCAAATGCTCTTTGTCACCTCAGCAGGCAGAGAGATTTTTTTAACCCTTCAGCTAAAAGCGTTCCATAACTCCGGGGTTTTCCTCCTGGTATGGCAGGAGTTCATTAAAAAATTAAATTTGATGCAAGACCAATTGTTTCTCTTGCCCTCAGGTCTCATTAAACAGTGTTCCTTGCATTTATTTTATTAATAATTCCTTTTAAAATAAATTGAGATAATAGACTAAGAATACATTTTAAAATGAGTTAACAAACCTATTATAAACTTACAATAAACGAAGAGACCTTTTAAAAAGAAGTTAATCAACTTATAATAAACTTATAATAAAGTTGTACTAAACCAAGCAAACTTTTAGAAAGAAGTTAACAAATATAATAGATGAAGAACATATTTTAAGATCAGTTAATAGATAAACTTAAGAGACAAAATAGACCAAGTGTCTACAGGGATAAGCTGAGGTTAATTTATCCAAAGCTGGGCAGTGCTGGGGGCACAGAGGAGCTCCATGAACCTCTCCAGGCAATGCCCAGAGCGGGGTCAGGTGGAATTAGGAGGCAGTGACAAATGGAGGAGTTAAAGATCTTTCAACATCTCCCATTTGCCATCAAAGAATTTGGAAAGTCTGGTTCTAAACCAGTTAAAGTTCTGGTTTAGCACGGGACTAACAATCCACATTTTTACTCTCTGCTGTTTTCCTCCTGGTCCTTTACCCCGAGGGCACAAAGCACCTCAAGAACCCCAAACATTTGGAAGCTTTGCCTTCCAAAAAATTTGAGGATTTCTCTGAGCCCAGCACTTCCTTTTCCAGCACTGCCGTGATTATTTCGGGATGCCCGCAGGGAAAGGATGGGGAATGCTGAGGGATACAAACCGTGGGCAGCAGTTTTATGGACTTGCCGAGAACTTGCCAAGAACTTCTGGGATTTCTAGAGGAGAGAGACAGAGAGGGAATTTGTCACTGGAAGGTTTCTTGGAGTTTTCCTGGTTGTGCCTCTCATCGTGAGACTCTCAGAGATCAAAGGGGCACGTAAAAGTAACGACACACTTAAAGGAGGGGAAAAAAAAATATTTTCCGAAGCTGCTTCCAGCAAGGATGCCAAGAACATCCAGGGAAATAAAATAAAGCCACAGAGCTGAAGGGGCAGCAGAGCCTGTGCAGAGATCCTTGGAGTGGGCACAAGGAGCAAAACCCATGGAGAACATCCCAACAACAACAACAGCCCCGCACGGAGCGGTCCAGGGAGCGTTTGGGACACATGAAAGGAGCAGGATGGCAGGGAAAGGTCAGCAGCTGAATGAAGTGGTTGTGAAAATCGGGATTCGTTCATTTTTGGGGCAGGTTCCCAATTTAATGCCACGCTCAGCTGGACCAGCGGAGGAACCGCCCGGAAAGCGACGTTTCCTCCTTAAAGTGCAAAAGGCGAGCTCAGGGATGGGGAGGGTTGGCAGGGAAGAGTTTTACCTGGAAGCTGGAGTAGACCATGCTGGTGGCTGCTTTTCCCAGTGCCATTCCCGGCTCGCTGTGCTCGGTGCTCGGGGTGGCAGAGGTGTGTGGCTGGAAGGTGCTGGTGGCAGGGTTTATATGTGCGTCCAAAAAGCAATTTGCTTTCTGTTTTGTGCAACTGAATTTCCAGGGGGATGACATCAGCCCCTGGGGAGCCAGAGGGTGGGGGGAATCCGTGAGGAGGGGTGGTTTGGAGGGAAACCCCTCCCAGCCCCCCATTTCAGGAAATAAATAAAAAGATTTCAGACAATAACTGACACGGTTCAAGGAAACTCCTGTCTCCAAAATGCCACAGGTGCCAATGGGTGAAGCAACCAGCTGCAGGCTCCTCCTCCCGAGGAGGATTATAAAAGTGGGATTTACCAGGAAATGAGAGGGACAAGAGCATCCTCCCATTGAGCCGAAGTGTCACCACAGCAGGTAAATCCCAGCTGCAGAGGCAGAAGTGAGGCACTGGTGGTTTTCTTTTGGCTTTTCTTGAATGCCTGCAGTGTTTGGGTGTCTGGCTGAGTCTTTCCCGGCTCTCCTTCTTCTCCATCTCCAGCTCTGCCGGGTCACTGAGCTGGGAGTGCACCCTGGGGCTTCCAGGGAACACGGGGAGCCTTCGTTCCCAAAGCAAAGTTTGGATTTTGGGGGAAGGCCACGGCTCTTTGCTTTGCCCTGCAGTGGAACCTGGCGACATTTATTATTTTGGGCAGAATACCAGCCTGGTGGGACACACCTTTATTGAAAATCGGATTTTTTACTAACCCCCATGCAGACTTTTGTCGCAGCAATGCATCCCTGGCAATTCCGTGCTGGTTTGCACCAGGGCAGAGGCAGGGGTTGTGATGTGAAATCCAGCTGTGTGTTGTGGCTGTGCACTGTTCATCCTGCTGTGTGTTTATCCAAAACGAATTTTGTTCTCTTTCCATGTTTATCTGGAGGCAGGCAGCGTTTCCTCAGAGCTCTGGAAATGTTTGTTATCACTAACAAGGTGGGATGGAAAGCAAATGGCAAGGTGCCACTGGGGATGAGTGAAAAAGGGAATGGTTTGGTGTTCGTGGATGCGTCCCACGGGTGGGGAGCCTCGCTCCAGTCTCCTGGGGATGGAATTCCAGTGCCCTGGAATATCCTTGTTAATATTGGCCAGGGAGAAGCAGCAGTGGATGCACAGAGCGATTCCTGCAGAGCCTGCACGGGAAGGGGATGAGATGGGAACGACCTTTCCTGGAAGGGGGTGAAGGGAAGCTGCCGTGGGGACAGCAGGGAGCGAGGGAAGCGATGCCCAGAGCCTGTCCCGTGTGGCTCCGAGGTCACCGGGGGACAAGAGCCAGCAGGAAGGGAGGGAGGGAGGGAGGGCACAGCATTCCTGCAGCCCCAGGGCGAGCGATGTCGGGGGCGAGCGGGGAGAGGGAAGGAGGCGGAGGGGTCAGGTGAGGGAGGGTGTGGCTTTGGCTTTGCGAGGGGTTTGAGCAAGGGAAGGATCATCCCCATCCCTCCGGGAGGTGCCCAGGTGCCTCCTCAGCACGGGGACATCTCCAGCCCGTGGTTTCCTGGACGGTGGCTGCGCTGCTGGGTGTGCAGGGAGCTGCTAATCCCACCCGGCACGGAGGGATTGTCCATCTGCTCCCCTGCCTGCTGTCACACCACCAGGGCTCTGCGGTGCACGTGGAGAAATGGGTCCTTAAGGACAGTGACAGCACCCTTGGGTGGGTTTATCCCAGAGGCAGACCAGGGAATATTTGATCAGAAAATTCCCTGGGGGTTCCAGGTTGGTTTTTCCAGCCTCAGTGCAGCCCTCGGTGCTGCTGTTCCTGAGACACCACCAAGAGGATTTTCCTGGTTTGATGTGTCCTGACCTTGCAGGAAACGGAGGCAGGGACCACGCTGCGGTCTCCGACCACACCTGGACCACATCTGGGCTCATCTGGGCTCCAAAGCCCAGCTGTGAACTGGTCCCAGGGCAGGGACCACGAGCCCGGGTTGGTGTGTGTGGGGTGAGTGTGAGCAGTGGTTCCGACCCCAAACCTTCCTTTTCCTCCTCTTTTTCCATATCTTGGGCAGAACCCTCTCACGTCCTTCCCCTTTACACCTCCTTAGCCCGACGGCGTCTTCTGGGGCTTGTCTTCCTCCCTTCTCCCACCGGAAGAAGAGGAAATCACCCCTGAGAGTTGTGTCTCCCCATCCCTGCCCAGTCCCTGCTCTTTGTTATGCAGAAAACACCAACAAAATGAGCTCTGGCAAATTCAAAACCACTTCTGGGAGCCAAGGAGTCTCCTGGCCAGCCCATCTCGCTCCCAAATCCCAGCTCACCCTCTTCCTGGGACCCGCTCCAAGCAGGGGCTCCGAGTCTGCCTTTGAGCCACTGCCTGGGCTGCTTCAGGGCAAAACATCCGCAGGAGCTTAATTTCGTGGCTCTTTTCCAAGTATAACCGTTTAAACCGAGCTGCTTCTTTATATGGCAGTGTCATTTAGAACAATCAAAGAGGCAAAATCGTGGAACCCACGGGCTCAGCTCTGCCCAAGGGCACAGCGTTCCTTGGGACCTCCTTAAAGGCAGCGCCCTGATGGGAAAAGGGAGTTTTCCTGCCTGGGAACTGGGATTTGGTGCATCTCCCTCTCTGAACCCAAAATCCCAACCAAGTAATTGAATAATTCATTTCCCCCCCGAGCTTTGCTTGGAGGTTTTTAGCCTTTCCTTATTTCATGAGGGTTGAGGTTGCCAAACCAGTTTGGAGCCGTTGGAGTTGATTTATCCTTCATCCTTCTTCCTTTGGGGAAGTGACATCTTTTAGAATAAATGGAGAGAGGAAAACACGGGGCTTTGAGCAGAACAAGAGGCTACTGATGTTTGCAAAAGGTAAATTTGTGCTGAGGGTTCGTGTGATCCTGGGATTTAGGTTCGTTTTTATTCCCATTTTATTTTTCTTTGGGTGGTGCTCCTTCCCTCCTCCTCACTCCCCCTAACAATAGTGGAGCTTTCCTCCCTTTCCAAAGGCTTCTTTGGAAAGGTTGAGGACAGCATACATCACCTTCTCCCTTTCCAGCTTTTTTAGCTCACCAAATATTCTAAAAATACCCAAATAACAAGAACATTGCTGTTTTATTTTCATCTTTGTTTCCCAACAAAACCCTCCAGAGAGAAAAACTTCAGCTCCTGGTACCCAGGAGTGCCGAGGAGTGGAAACGTGGGGGCTGCCTGCAAACAGACGAGTTCATGGGAGAAATATGAAGGGTTTGAAAATAGCCTATTTAGTCACTGGGGTTTCAAGAAAGCTGGAAAATTCCATCTGGAAGGGAGACTCTGTGTGTGTGTGTGTATGTGTGTGCACCGTGCCTGCCCTGTTTGTCTGCAACAGTGGATAAGAAACGTCCTGGAACGGCTCAAAAATACCTTGTGGCTTTCGTCTGGATGTTTGTTGGTTTGTGTCGGGCTGTTCACGCCTCTCCATCTCCAGCAGCCTGGAGAAGAGGGGACAGCAACCATCAGCACCACCTGCAGCGCTTTGGGGCACCTAAACATGTTTTTGCCAGGAATCCTGGTCGCCTAAATGGGTTGTGTGTGTTTTTTCTGGAGAGGGCTGCGGAAAGCAGGCACCTCAAGCGGTGCTTTGAATGGAGCCTTTGTCTGGGGCGTGGAAACACCTGAGCCTGGCAGCAGCCCGGGGCAGGGGCACGGCTCTGAAGGTTGGCCAGGTGCCCCAGGGGAGGTTGTGGGGGCGAGGGCTGACTCTGCTGTTTTGTCTGGAAGGGCCATGGCGAGCTCCGAGGGTTTCGCCGCCGTCTTCTACAGCGAGCCCGGGGTGCTGGGGCTGCTGGGCAACGTGGTCAGCGCCTTCCTGCTGTGCCTGCAGAACTTCACCGTGGCCACCACCGGCCTGGGGCCTCGGGCAGCAGAGCAGGTCCTGGCAGGTGAGTGCTGCTGCTCGGGGTTGAGCATCCCCCAAGATCCTTGAGGGTCGGCCCCCGTCGCGGTAGGGGCGGGTGTGAAGTACAAACAGGCACAGCACATTTCAGGAAGTTAATATTCCATTTATTACAACAACCGGCTGTCTCTTATACACCCTACAAAGTTTACACATTACTCACTGGCTACAATAGACCAACATAACGTTCATTGGTGTAAAGCCACCTACGCCTCTGTTTTCCACAAAGCTTTCCTAAAAATACTTTTCCCAACTCAGGTTTCTTCTTGCTTATCTTCTTCTCCTTCTTCTCCTCTTGGTCAGAGAATACTTCTCAAAACAAACCTCATTCATTAACCCTCTGTAACCCACAGACCGGGTCCTGCTACGGTCCCCGTGGGGCAAAGAGCACCGCTGGTGGGATGGAGGGGAGGTGTGGGCTGTGTGCATCGTGTGTGCTCCAGGGGATGGCTGCTCCTCCTTCCCCAGCCACCGTGCCACGGATTCCGTGTGCCACTCCCTGCTGGATCCAAGCTGTCCTTGGAGCCTGCTCACCGAGGGGCTCAGGGCTCATACACCAAAATTTCCCACAACGGTGGGCAGAGGGGCGGGCAGAGGCCACGGGACCTGCTGTGGGGTGTGCCCTAGAGCTTCCTGCAGCTCCAGCCTTTCTGTGCTTGGCTTCACCCCCGACCCCTTCCTGCCCCCCTCAGGTGTCCACCTCATCCTGATCGGCGGCTTTGTGCAGCTCCTGGCCGGATTTCTCGCCTTCCGCAAGTACGACCACCTGGGAGGCTCGGCCTTCCTCACCTTCTCTGCTCTGTGGAGCAGCTACGGGGCCACCAAGGTCCTGTCAGCCGTGTTCCCCTCCCCGGAGAACACAACACTTCCCTCTGGGAACGCCAGCCAGCTCCTGGCCACCAGCACCGCCCCGCTCTCGGCCAGCCAGAGCGCCGTGGCCGGGCTGGTGGCTTACATCGCCATCTCCTTCATCCTGTCCTTCTGCTCGGCCACCGTCAGCTACATCATGCCCTTCATTTTTGGGGCCATCGCGCTGGCGCTGGGCTTCGAGGCCGTGGCGCTCTTTGGGGA